GCAGTCATTGCATTCCTGGAATAAATATCACTTTAAACAAGCCTTATAAAAGTGAGTTGGCATCCAGTGACCAGATCTTGGTTTCAAATACCCTGTCCATTAACAGGAACCAGGTATCCTTGGAGAAATGGCTGATTCTAAGATAGAGGTAAGAAATATATAAGATAAGCCTGAAGCATCTTCTAATGCCGGAAAGTAAGAAAGTGCTAAGGAAAAAAAAAAAAAAAAAGGAAGAAACGACAACAAAAACAATGATGAGAGCATGTCAGGAAGATCCAAGGAGCCAATAAAAGATCTTCTAATGGCCAAGCTGGAATAATTTGAGCAAAAAATAAAGTAGTACTGGGTTACAACCCAGAGTATAAAACAAACATCAGTGTATTCATACAGATATAAATAAATGATTGAATAAATAAATGAGGAAGAAACAAATGTCCCATACAGAAGAATTCAAAATAAAATAATTATGTAGATAAGCCACACTCAGTGAGGTAGAACTAACTCCCCACTCCATAAGTGTGGGCTGTACATAGTGACTTTCTTTCAAAAAATTACTTTCTTTCAAAAAAAAGTGATCAAGGTTCATATCAACAGTGTTAAGTCATGTTGATAATACATACTTTAGATATTCTGTGATTTAAAAAGTGGCACTTTAACTCGTGACCTAACTCCCCAAAATACACCCAAATCCAATTGTGAGAAAAAAAATCAGACAAATCCCAATGAAACAAATGCCATAAAAACCTATCCAGTACTTCTCAAAACTGTCAAATGTCATCAAAAACAAGGAAAGTCGGGAAACCATCAAAACCAAGAGGAGCTTAAAGAGATATGACAAGTAACTGTAATGTTTATCTCAGATGAGATCCTGGAGCAGGAAAAGGACAATAAGCAAAACTACAGAAACCTGAATGAAGTATGGATTTCATTAATAACAATGTATCAATATTAGTTCATTATTATACAAATGTGTCATACTAACGTAAGGTACTAACACTAGGGGAAACTGGGTATGGGGCATATGGAACATTTTACTATCTTTGCAATTTTTCTGTAATAAAAGGTTTATTTTTTAGAAAGTGAATTGTGGATTTCTCTCACTTTCTGTTTTTGGGATCGGTTTGTGTGGCAGCACTTTCAATGGAAAACTATAAGCAATCCAGTAATTGACCCAGGTTGATATGGGCATTTGGAACATGATCAAGGTACTAGTAAAGGTTACACTGTTCAATAAATATTACTGGAAAATCAGCTACCAATTTGGGAAAAAATTCTGAACCCTACCCTCTTGCCAAATCAATTCCACTTAAAATCTGCAAAGATTTGCATATAAAAATAAAGGTATAAAAATTCTAGAAGATAATGAGAATGAATATCTTTATACATTTGGGGTAGGATGGACCTTTTTTACACATAACAACATTTAAGACAACATTGAATTCTTACGGGCATAACAGATCTTGCAGTAAGTGCAAGATCTTGAGCCAGTGATATGAAGCACAAGCTGAAACACTCTCCCAGTACAAAGAGAAGCGTAATTGGAGAGAGCTTGCAAAAAATAATGAAAGGTAAGCATGAAAAACAATGGAGACAGTTGTATCCTGGAAGAAAAAATTAATAACAAATATAAAACATCTAATCTGCTGAAACAAAGTTCCCCAAAATAAAGATCTAAGTTAACAGAACAAAAAAGCAGAGAGAATTGAAAAAAAACAGTCAAGCAACATGTCCAAGGTAACACAGCTAACTTCTGGTGGAGATGGCTTTGAAGCCAGCGCAGCCTCACTTTCAAGCTCACGTTTTTTCTGCTTCCATATATGTGCTCCGTTAGCCATTAAAAAGTAATCTCTCTACATGAAATATGGTGCCTTGCACTGGATTCTACATCAGAAAAGGAACGTTAGTGAAAAAACTAGTGAAATTCTAATAAAGTCTAGAATTTAGTTAAGAGTAACATACCAATGTTAATCTCTTAGTTTTTATGATTACACCATAGTTACAGAAGATACTAATGCCAGGGGAAACTGGGTGAATGGTAGGCAGGTGTACAACTTTTCTGTAAATCTAAACTATTCCAAAATAAAAAGTTTATTACATAAAATAAACCTCTCAAAATGGTACCTTGAGTACTATCTTCAAACTCGCAAGTATAGAGATTCATTGCATAAAACAAAATTTTAAAAAGGGCATGCTTTGCATTGAAGACTTATTATCACAGGTTTACTGATGACTTTAAAAATTAATATCTGTTTCAATTTAATTACACAGCTTTTTTTGAAAAGACTGCTTACATAATTTCTTCCACATCAGGCTTCCTTTCATGTGGATAAAAATATAGACTACTGTAAACAGTAGTCTCTAAAAACATAACCAATCTGGTTGTGATGAACTGCTTTCCATTTCTGCTACAGATGTGACAAAAGTTCTTTAAAAAAATTTATAACAGCAAGAATTAAATTTAAAGGATTAATGTAGCTGCCTGATTTTAGGAGCTGTCAGATAATGAAAGAATCAGGACTCCAGAAATAAATGAATTCTAGGAGAAAAGCTGGAGCATATAATTAAGTAGAAAACTCAAAGGAGCCTGACTATGTAAGAAAAGAGGGAGAAAAAGTACTTAAAAAGAGGCAGAAAAATAAAGGAAACTAATGGAAATCAGGGCTTATGGTGTGTCTAAAAAATGAGATGTGATAAACCATGGAATGGGAGGGGAGATGACAGCAATATGAACAGTATTAAGTCCATCACGTCACTGTCTTGCTGTGGTTCCCATCGCTTAGAGCACGAGCCAGAGAACGATGGGGACCTTGATGGCCTGCCTCTGCCTCCATCACATCTGACCTTCCCTTCTCCTTCTCACCTGGCCCTGATGGCCCTCCAGCCTGCCCGGTCTCCAAGCAGTTCCTCAGGCACCGCAGCCTTTGCATGTGCTAATCCCCCTGTCGGAATGTCCCTCCCCCAGACATTTCCGTGGTAAACCTCCTCAATCTCCTTCAAGTTTTCCTCAGACATTAACTTTTCAGTAATGTTCTACTATACACATTCTATTTAAAATGGTGAACCCCTAGAACTCCCAAACTCCCTTAACCTGCCACTTTCTCATAGCTGCTTCCATCGTCTAACACTTTCATTATGTTGAATATCTGTCTCCCCAGCCACTCGACTCTAAGCTCTTTTTGCCTGTTTTGTTCACTGATATTTCCCCTGTGCCTAGAATAGTGCTGGGCACATAGTAAGTGCTCAATAAATGTGTCAAAAATTGCATTTGTACAAAAATATAATTTTTCATTATCATTAAAGTTAGGATAATAAAACACTGATAACTTTTCCAAAGTCATTTTTCGAGCAATTAGGGTCAATTTTTTGCCTGTCCGTGTTTCTGGGTATTTTCTACACTGAAAAATTACTTCTATAATGTTTTAAAAGAAAGTTTTGTTTTCGCAAAAGACCAGACAGCTGTCAGAGATCATTTCAACTTAAGCACATTCAATATCAGAGTCAGAATAAAAGTTTATTCTACCAAGGCCTGCTCTTCTTATGAGCATGAATAACAGATCAGCAAATGATGAACAGAACCATCCACCAAGTTAATAGAATCATAAAATTCTAACCTCATTATAAAGATGAGTAAATGGAGACCTAGGAAAAAAGTCAAGTCACTTCCTCCCATTCAATTAGAATATAGCTGATGACGTGTGAACACAGAGCTAGTCCTAAATGAAAGTCTGAAGCATTACACAATGACCTGGCACATCAACATGTCGGAATGCAGTGAGAAGTCCAGACTGGAAATGTTCAGTTCACCATCTGAGCAGATCTTTATTTTCTCCAACTTGTTTCTGTTTCGTTGCTCAAAGATGCTTGTGAGCGGTTGCTTCATAGCGTTTGAACATTCAAGATTCTCTCTGCAGTTAGATCACTCGCAAAATAAACAGTGTGATCACCTTCCCTATGTATTTCAGCATGCTCAAGGACCACTGCACCTTCCAGATCCCACTCAACAGTCAGCCTCTTGCTCTAGCCCTCTATTTGTCCAGTTGAGAGAAGTGTGAGGCCAGCATATTTTACAAATTTCTTATTCTTTTTAGTGGATGGACTGTCAATTAACTGTCATAAAATCAAATGGAAGCAGCCTTCAGGGTCTAAAAACGTTGTCACTTATCTTTTCAAAAAAAATCTAATTCTTTTGCTAAAAATCTGCACACGTACTATTGTATCATCATAAGTGGGGGAAAAAATAAATCTGGTGTTGTATTTTCTTCTCAGAGACAGCAACAGCGGTTCTTCCATACACATGCATTCCCCAGGTCCCCAGACAGTCATCTCCGATGTTACAGCGGTACGGGGCAGACACTTTGGCAAACACAGTCTATTAAATGAAGTTGCTATGGACCAAAACAACGGTATTGATTTTTGGTACAATTCAAAACACAAGGAAACATCAGTTTTCTAAATAGCACAAGTTGAAAAGAACAGGCAGAAAGAGACTGCAAATAGTGGAAATAGGAAAAGAATAAAAGACAATTACATTAGCAAACATCTTAGTGTTCTTTTAGGTTGTTTGTATTTTAAGTTTGAAGAACTGACAAGGCTGAATTATTAATATGCTTAATTGTCCTTATCTAAAAATCTTAGATTGCTGACTGACAGACACTATCTTCAAAGCTGGAAGCCCAAGCATCCAAAAGACCCTCACGAAACAAAGCCTTCTAACCCTCTGGATATCTGAACATCCTCTTTAAAGCTCAAATAGTTTTTCTTTTTTCAAATAACATCCCTTACTGTCTCTTTCTCAGCAAATGGCAGAGTCGTCTAAATTGCGTTATAAATACATCATTTACCAAAATACTAAGTTTGCTGCAAGCAAATGTTTTCCTTAAATATCCTTAATGAGATAAAATGACTTTCAAGTCAGAGACCTCTAGATGGGAGGTTCCCACTGTGGTCACAGCAGCCAGGACTTACCATGGCCCCCTCACTTGTTCTTTGGGCAACTTCTCTCTGCAGTCGGGCCACTGCCAACTTCTCCCTGGAGAAAACAAAAAGCACGTGATTAGTTGACCATTTGAGCATTCTCAGGGCAGAGGCGACACTTGCGCGCGGCTGTGAAACATTCTTTCGAGGTCTCCAGAGGAACTCCTTCCTTGGTTTAGCTCATTTCCTCCACTACACTTTCTATAAATATTTAAAGTGATTCGTATGGGTGCATTGTTTTCATCAAGTGTCATGAAAGAGACACTTTTTTGCCTTGGGTTTTATAATAGCTAAGTAAATGTTAAATGCTAAGTAAAAGCTTTGTTTTAAGTTAATTAATGTATATCACTTATAAATAAATTTTCCATGACTAAAATATTTCAGATGTCCTTTCTAAATCAACTTTGCTTATACATTTTTAATTATTTTTATTTATTTTGTTGCTCTATGCCAATAATGAATTTTAAAAAGCAAACAAAATGTAACTCCTTACTGTTCTTAAAATAACAATAGAAAATCATTTGCAGGCTTGCTATGTAACAGGCACCAGGCTAGGCAGGCATCATACCTGTTCTCATTTCAGCCTGACAATAACCCCATCAGGTGGTTTTATTATGCCCATTTTATAGATGAAGCAGCTGAGGCTCAGAGAGGCTAACACACTGAGCCCCCAGATAGTAGTTTTAGGATCAAATTTTAGGTTTTCTTACTTCAAAGCCTAAATAAAAATCTGCTTATCATTTCTCAGTGTCTAGGTTATATAAAAATATAAATTTAAAAAATATATTCTTCATTTCAGTACTCTTTATTTAACAATGGGGTTCAGTTTTATATCCCTTATAATTTTAATTCTAATTTCACTTAAAACATACTCAATATCCACCAAAATTTTAAGAATACTTTTGCAAAGTAATAGACACTTGCATCTTGCAGAGCTTTTCAATTATTCTTTAAATAGTCGATAAATGACACAGGGGTTATAAGTGAACTCATTCAGTAATCCCTAAATCTTAGTTTCAGCAAGGATTTCCCCCGAAATCCTGCAAGTGCTATGAAGATGAGAAACTATTTGAGTGATATTTCATCCCTTAGTCTTCCCTCTACACCGGATCGGCTCTATGCAAACATAGAGAAAGACATGAGATTCTCAGACAAGTAAGAGGACTCTTCCCTCCAAACCGCTTGGGTCTTTGAAAAGCCTATGACGGCCAAGAAGACATGTGCTTTAGTTTGGCTAAGGCCGAGCAGCCTTTTAGTAGGAATAGTTCTCTCTGGTTACACATCTAAAGGCACAGACTAGAAGAAGAGAAACTAGAACCAGGAGATGTTCAAGGGATACATGTTCTGAGAGCCTGGGGCAGGACCTGCATGTGCACCTGTGAGAAGGGGCAACGATGTCGATAGCAAGGGGCCATAAAGAGAGGGGAGTTCTGGGCTTCCCTGTGAGGCAAACAAGGCAGAGAGCCCCTGTGTGTTCTCTGACTTAACAGATGAAAGGAGCTCAGTAAGAAGAACAAATGACAAGACCAAAGAATTAAAAGGGAAGGATATGACTGACTTCTGGTTTAATATGAAAATTACTGAAGGGTAGGTTCGCTGGATAAAAATTTTAAAAAGGAAAAAATTAAAAAGAAAATTAAACACATGAATTTACCTCTTCTCTCCAAAGAAACCATTAAAAATGAAGTAAAGGGTAACAATCGTAAATATTACAAAGTCAAATAAAACAGGAGAAAAACATACCCAATACTCTATGACCCAGCAATTCTACTCTGTGGTATAGACCCAACAGAAAGGTAAATATATGTTCACCAAAAGGTATGTTCTAGAATGTTCACAAAAGCACTTTTGTAATAACCTTACACTGAAAATGCACATACCCATTAACAATAGAATAGATAAATAAACTTCAGCATAGGCATCCACTGGAATACTATAAAGCACTGAGAAGGAATAATCTACATCTAATCACAACAACATAAGGAATATCACAAACATGCTGTTGCGTAAGAGAAGTGAATGCAAAAAAGTACATACTTTATGTTCCATTTATATAAAGTGCAAATGCAGGCAAAACTCCTATCTGGTTCAATAAGACAGGAAATAAAAGAGACAGATATCAAAAAGGAAGAGTTGAAACTGTCTCTGTTCACAGATGACATTAATTTTCTACATAGAAAATCTTAAGGAATTTACTATACAACTAATAAGTGAATTTAGCAATCAAAGCGTAGAAGCCAATATGCAAAAATCAATTGTATTTATATATACTAGCACAAAACAAGTGAAAAATAAAATTTAAAAAGCATCTATTTATAATAGTGCCAAAAAACATAATACATCTAGGGAATAAATTTAACAAAAGACTTTCAAGACTGCTATACTGAAAACTAAAAAACACTGCTGAGAAGACCTGAAGGAGACTAACAGAGACATATACCACATTCATGGATTGGAAGGCTTAATATTATTACACTGTCAAAATTTATGCCAAATTAATCTATAAATTATTTTTCATTGGGATGTACAATTCCACATCCCAGTGAAAGAGGAAGGCATGAGTAACAGAAAACAAGGAATCCCATACAGAAGAGGAGAAAAGAAGAAGAAAGGGAGGAGAGGAGAAAAAGGAATATATGTATGTAGTTTTTGGTAAAAAGAAGCCCTGTACAACAGCTATGTAAGAGTCCAGAGAACAACCAGTCCAGATTGCAGCAAGAAGATGGGGAAAAGGATGACTCAAGGGAAAAACAAAATTTGAACCAAAATACATTACCTATGTGTTTGTAAATACTGAGAAGAGTTGTAGAATTTTAGTTTGTTAAGAATCAGAGATTGGAACATGAAAACCTAAGCCAATGACAGGAAGTGGCAATTATTAACTCTGGAATAAAAGTAAAGAAATGCAATTCCAGAATTCTACTAGACTCGGCTGTGAATGACATTTACTTTGTTTTATCATAATTATTTAACCAAATTAACTTATAATTTAATGAAAAAATTGGAGAGAAGGAGAAGTGTGGAGCAACAGATGGTATAGAAGCACTAAATCCTTATCTTTCATAATAGGAAGACAATATATAATGCCTAAAAGTGATCAGTCTAGGAATGTAAGTACAAACATATTATTTAGATACGAGGATGGAAAACTCAGAAGGTAGACATAGAACAATGGAGAACGGCTGTACCAGGGCAGTAAGACCCCGAGGCAGGGAGGGAGAGGTCTGCTAAATCTTATCATTGCATTTGATTTCCAAACTATGTACATGTGCTACTTTCATTAAAAACTTTTTAAAAATATGTATTTTTAAAACAAAAAATTGGTTCACTTTTATTAAAACATTATGATAATATATTAGTTAAAAGAAAGAGGACAGATTATTTAGCAACTGAAGATTCAGCATTAAGTGATTCATTGCCATGGTTCTGAGAAGAATACACTGAAAAGCTTTGGTAAATTAAGACGAAATAAGAATTAACTATAAGCAATAAGGAGTCTTTAGACAACTGTTTTAAAATATATACTACAAACAGTTTACTATGTTACAGATATATTTTAAATTTAAAAGATGTTTTACTTTTTTCAATGAAATATAAGATACACAGAAAAATTAAGAAATCATAAGAGCACAGCTTGATGAGTAATCACAAAGTGAGCATGTCCATGTTAGTACCACCTAAGCAAAAAATCACGAACATTCCCAGAACACGAGAAGCTACTACGATGCTAACGATAATTAACTTAGTATAATAGTTCCTAAACTCATTTGCCGAACTCTTTTCTCTGTATACCAAAACATGGCAGCATTTAACTTCTAGTCTAAAATGTTATATACGCTGTCTTATATTTTACTTGACTATTCATTCAAAATATCCTATCCTCTGAATAAAATCCCTCCTTGACCACATCAGTAGCAGCCAAAAATGTTGATTCATGCATTTTTGCAAGTAGTCAGTTGTGATGTAGTTATTAATAATATCGTATTATAACAGCTGGATGCCTGAATGCAGAGATAATATTTAGCTCATCTCTATAACACTTACTAAGAGCCACTTAGGTACGAACAAAATAAACATTTGTGACTTGCTGAATGAGGAATCAGTCACAGAATCTAATACGAACTTGCCTACTAGAATTTGTTTTTAAAGAGATAAAGTCTAGGCCGGGCGCGGTGGCTCACGCCTGTAATCCTAGCTCTCTGGGAGGCCGAGGCGGGCGGATTGTTTGAGCTCAGGAGTTCGAAACCAGCCTGGGCAAGAGCGAGACCCCGTCTCTACTAAAAATAGAAAGAAATTAATTGGACAACTAAAAATATATAGAAAAAATTAGCCGGGCATGGTGGCGCATGCCTGTAGTCCCAGCTACTTGGGAGGCTGAGGCAGAAGGATTGCTTGAGCCCAGGAGTTTGAGGTTGCTGTGAGCTAGGATGACGCCACGGCACTCTAGCCAGGGCAACACAGTGAGACTCTGTCTCAAAAAAAAAAAAAAAAAAAAAGATAAAGTCTTGCTCTTGTCTCCCAGGCTGGAGTGTAGTGGCATGATCATAGCTCATACTGCAGCTTCAAACTCCTGGGCTCAAGCAGTCTTCCTGCTTCAGCCTCCTCGTGAGTAGCAATGACTACAGCAGCACACCAATATGCTGGGATAATTTTTTTTCTAATTTTCTGTAGAGATGGGGTCTTGCTATGTTGCCCAGGCTGGTCTTGAACTCCTGGCCTCAAGCAATTCTCCTGCCATGGCCTCCCAAAGTGCTAAGATTATAGGCATGAGCCACCTGCCCAGTCTAGAATTTCAAATACCATTTTGCATTTACATGGTACATAACACAGGTACATGTAAACACACAATGATTCCCACAGGGCACCTTCTGGTTCTAGTTGGCCCCAAAAGCTTTTTCACACACATTCTAAAATTATGAAAAGCATAGCTTCCACAGGCTCCCAGGCAAATATCTGCATAAGCTTCAACAAAGTAAATTCCTATGTAAGAGCCCTGAATGATGGGATGGCAGAAAAGTAGTTCTTGAATATTTGGGTCAGAAGACTTCTCTGCAT